TCATATTTATAGGCCGCGCAGTTAAAGGGTTAATCTAATTATTATTTTAATATACAAACTGACAGATGCAACAGTTGAGAAATTCACTGAACAGATGCACAAAATAGAGAATATCCTTGATAACCTAGCAAACCCAGTACCAGATATTATCTTCCTTGGAGACTTCAATCTACCCAGTTTAAAATGGAGAATAGTAAACAATAACATTATAGCAGGAAATCAACCTGGAAATAACCAACCACAAGTCGGAGAACTACTGAGATTCTGTGACAAATTCTCACTCAGTCAGCAGATTACAGAATCAACTAGGAACGAGAACACGCTGGACCTGATATTCACGAACAATGATGAGCAAATCAGAGACATTACTGTCTCAGACACTACGTACTCGGACCACAAGTTCATTGAAGTGCAAACTAACATTAATAACGGTAGTAGGCCCAAGAGAAACAACAAGCGAGAAGGGTTATTCAATAAATTCAATTTTAATAATAAAAGGATAAACTGGGAGAAAATAAACAGGGAACTTACAAACATTCAATGGGAAAATGTTCTAAGAAATGAAAATCCTACACAAGAAATAGAAAAACTGACTTCTGAACATATGAAGTCTGTCTGAAACATATTCTTTTGAGGAAAGCCAGAAAGAGGTCAAATGTAGAAAGAGAACGCAGACGACATTACAAAAGAAGGAAGAAATTAACTTAAATGCTGAAGCAGACACGACACTCCATACAAAGAAGAAATAATTTAAACAGGGAGATTGAAGAAATCGAACAGAGACTGAAGCATTCCTATCAGAATGAAGAAAGGCAACTAGAACAGAAAGCAATTCAAGAAATAAAGAAAAACCCAAAATATTTCTTCATGTGCTAAATCAAAAGCAAAAAGTACTGCCAGTATTGGACCTATTTGTATTAGTGAAGGTTCATACACTGAGGATGACAGAAATTAGTGAAATCCTAAAAAAGCAGTATGAGGACATGTTTAGCACTCCGATACACAGCATGAAAGTGAAGATCCGAACAACTTCTTCATGAGTGATATCCAAACACCTGTAAATATAACTGATATCAACACGAGTGTAGCAGATTTTGAAAGAGAAATGGACAATATGCCCATGCACTCAGCCCCGGGTCCAGACTCATGGAATTCAATATTTATAAAGAAATGCAAAGTGCCAGTAGCACAGGCACTCAGTATAGTGTGGAGGAAGAGCTTGGACTCGGGGGAGATACCAGATGCACTGAAAGCAGCAGACATAGCCCCTCTACACAAGGGAGGTAGCAAAGCATTGGCAAAGAATTATAGACCAGTTGCACTAACATCGCACATAATAAAAGTATTTGAGAGAGTGATCAGGAATCAGGTCATTAGATTCATGGAAACCAATGACCTCCACAACCCAGGCCAACATAGATTTAGAGCAGGAAAATCATGCCTCTCACAGCTACTTGACCATTATGACAAAATCACTGAGGCATTAGAAGAAAAACAGAATGCAGATGTTGTATACACAGACTTTGCAAAGGCATTCGACAAATGTGACCATGGAGTGATTGCACACAAAATGAGGTCAATGGGTATAACTGGTAAAGTAGGACGCTGGATACTCAATTTTCTGTTGAACAGAACACAGAGTAACAATCAATCAAGTAACATCGAGTCCAAGCGCAGTTAAAAGCTCTGTACCTCAAGGTATAGTCCTTGCACCACTGCTGTTCCTTATTCTCATATCTGATATAGACAAAAATACAAGTCACAGCTTCGTGTCATCCTTTGCAGATGATACGAAAATCAGCATGAAAATTACCTCTGCTGAAGACATTGAAAAACTATAAACAGGCATTAACAAAGTTTTTGATTGGGCAGCAGAAAATAACGTGATGTTTAATGGGGATAAATTCCAGGTACTCGGATAAGGCAAAAATGAGGATCTGAAACATAATACAGGGTACAAAACACAATCGAATCTGCCCATAGTAGGAAAACAGCATGTCAAGGATTTGGGAGTAATGATGTCCGACGACCTAAAGTTTAGGGAGCATAACCAAGCAAGTATTGTGTCAGCCAGAAAAATGATAGGATGGATTACGAGAACCTTCAAGTCCAGAGATCCCATCACAATGGTTGTAGTCTTCAAGTCACTTGTGTTGTCCCGTCTCGAGTACTGCTCAGTACTCACTTCCCCCTTCAGAGCAGGAGAGATTGCTGAAATAGAGGGAATACAAAAAACATATACGGCATGCATAGACGAAATAAAGCACCTAAATTATTGGGATCGTCTCGAAGCTCTCCAAATGTGCTCACTAGAAAGGAGACGAGAGATACCAAATAATATACACATGGAAAATACTGGAGGGACAGGTCCCAAATCTGCACAGTATAATAACAACGTACTGGAGTGAACGATATGGAAGAAAATGCAGAATAGAACCAGTGAAGAGCAGAGGTGCCATAGGCACAATCAGGGAACACTGTATGAACATCAGAGGTCCGCGGTTGTTCAACGTCCTACCAGCGAGCATCAGAAACATTGCTGGAACAACCGTGGACATTTTCAAGAGAAAACTAGATTGTTTTCTTCAAGGAGTGCCGGACCAACCGGGCTGTGGTGGGTATGTGGGCCTGCGGGGCGCTTCAAGCAACAGTCTGGTGGACCAAACTCTCACAAGTGAAGCCTGGCCTCGGGCCGGGCTTGGGGAGTAGAAGAACTCCCAGAACCCCATCAAACAGGGCTTAGGGAGTAAAATAACTATAATGAACAGTATGCCCTATACTATATACTATAATTACTGCCTAGGGAAAGCAATGCTGTTGAGCATATTTAAAACAATTTTCTATTGTTGATTAAATTACACACTAGAAATTGGAGACAACGACATTTCGGTCCGTCCTGGACCAAACTTTTTCTAAACTTTCTAACAAAAGTGACCTAACATAAGCCTTCTCCTCCTTTTATCTTTCTTTTTCTTTTATTTCTCTTGTTTTCTCTTATGATGCCTTTCTTATTCCTATTATTACACCCATTATTACACCTTACCTTCCGTACCTTTTGCCTTGCTCGTATCTTCCTCTAAGATTTCCCATCTCCTTGCCTCTCTCTTGCCTACTTAATGCCCGTGCCGCCCTTGTCTCATCACTATCGACTTAATAGTGATGAGACAAGACTTGATAGTGATGTTTCGGTCCAGGACGGACCGAAATGTTTTCATCTCTTCAATTTCTAGTGTGTGGTTTGGTCGACATTTTTCAGCCATGTTATTGTGACTCATCATCTGCACTTTTCTATTGTTCATTTTCATTTTGAGCTGGCAAGGTTTTCCTTCAATTTTGAAATTAAGATTTTCAGGTTTGCACGTGGGAAATATCAGAGAAGGTGAAATCTCTTAACCGAAAGGTTCTTCTAGTAGATTTTCATCATATGATAAGATAAAATTCAAATTTCATTTAATGAAATTTGGACATCCGGAGGTTCTCGTTAGTCTAGATTATTTTGGTCGCCCTGTACCACCATGAGCAAATCTGTATACGTATAACCATTCTTTCTGAGTAAAACTTTAAATGACAATGCAGAATTTGCATCCACAACACAGACTAGCATAGCATACCAGGATTTAACCATGAGACAAACACACAGTTTGCTCACGTGCCCAAGCAGGAAGCCTGGTCAGGGACTGGGCAGCGGGGATGTTGAGCCCCGAATCAACTCTAAGGTAACTGCAAGGTAAGCCTACATCTAAGCGGTAAACACGGCTACAGATTGGGTAATTGAATCCCCATAAATACAAATGTTTTTGTACAGTAGTAAACAGTTTGAAATGAACATAACTTGTTTCAGAAAATTCTGGATTTTATTTGTTCAACTCAGGTTTCACTAAGTTTAGAATGTTTTTTGCCATCTTACAGGTACAGTATTAATGATCATTCGGAAGGAGTGTATAGTTTTTTGGTGTGTTCTTTGGTGTCAGTGAGCTGAATTTCCTTGGTAATGGAATGAGGTATGCTACTACTGTGCTTCTTGGTCCTAGACTCTGACGATACAATATGGTTTGGTCAACATATTTCGGCCACGTTATTGTGACTCCTCGACTGCACAATACAGCACTCTCTGTAAAGTATTTGAAAGTTCCTTATTCCCCAGGGAATGGCGCTCAAGGTTCCGGCATATTAAAGATTACGGTGACTCTGGGCAGCCACTGAGGTGCTACTCAGAAATGGCCATTTCATTCCATTCAGTGATTTTTTCCTATACATATCTATAGATTTTAATGTAACAAATTTGTTTACTACTAATCAAATAACATTGGACAAAACAAAAGGCAACTCACCATTCAAAAGGTTTGCTGGTGGTTCTGGAATAAATTACAGGATATAAATCAACATTTTATTGGTTTACTATAGTAAAATCTTTATTATTTAATGTTTTCAGACTGACACATTTCAATAATTGTTTAACATTAGAAGAGTTGGCAAAGTCTAGAGAGCTTCCAGTGCATGTGATTACCCACTGAATGAGAGCTGTGCTTGTGGTGTCCTGTCTTCAGTGTCCATAAATATTGGTCAAAGTTTGGGTTGTGTTTTGCATGCAATACCCCCCCCCCTCCCTCCCTCCTTTAGTCATCCATCATCCACTATGAGTAGACATACTTCATCTTGTCTTTTCTTCAGTTGTTCAGCAATTTATTACTATTGGACACTATTGTGCCTTAGTCCAGCATCTTCCCTGTATTATTGAAGTGTGGCACAACCAATACCTTCAGTCCTTCCTATACCTTCTTGTTTATTACCTTTAAAACACAGTAGGCTACATGTGGAATGCATGTCTTTTGACTTTATATTTGATCAAGTGTCTTTAGGCATAGATACCATACTACAAGCTGCAAATTATGCTTTAGGTCTAACATGTGTTGTAAATAATTAGATATTCCCAGTTGGGAAATATAGTGTGTGTTGGCCTCCATAGTATCTCCTGGGAGCTTATGCTTCTGGTATCACAGGGACACACCTCCATTGTCAAGCTCCTGAGAATTTCTTGGCCTACCAGGAACCACGACCAGAATCTGGCTCCCTCAGAGAGGCGAGGGGAGGACGTGGGGAACAAAGGTCGACCTCACAACTAAAGAGAGCCACTCGGAAAGTCAAAGGCTTAACAGAACAAACCACTGCTCTATGAAAAAGGAATGACATGAGGAAAGCAAGGCAGCTGATATTTGGCAACAGGTAAACCAGTCTTGTACCAGCTACCTTGGGTGTGTGTAGGTGGCAGTCCAGGACATCCAGCCACCCTTTACTAACTCACCTGATTTTTCTCCCTCCTGATGTCTCTTCTGCTTGGGCAATTTTTCTGCTATTCAGCTAAGGGGGTTTGACGTTCCTTGCGACATTGGTCCTGCACTTGGGCCGTGCTTTTCATACTCTAGCGCTTTACACCTGTTTGTGCCAACTACTTTGTCTCTCTCCTGCTACCTAGTTCCCTCTGGCTTTTGTTTCAGGGCTCACTTTCCTGGTACTGTGCAGAATTTGCCACTCTGCACGACACTTAACTTGCTGACCAAGCCACACACACCAGAAGAACAGCAGACTACGATGTTTCAGTCCAACCTGGGTCATTATCAAGTCGATTGTGTTTCACAATCGACTTGATAATGGTCCAGGAAGGACCGAAACGTCGTCGTCTCTTCATCTTCTGGTCTGTGGTTTGGTCATCATACCTTCAGCCACATTATTGTGACTCATTGTCGTGGAGAGGGGGGGGGGGGCCCGTGTGCATGGGTGACAGCTTCTTCCTCATATCAACCTACCCAGGCTTTGTACCCTGGAGAGGCCACTCCAGACCGACAACCAGAACTCAACTCCATAGTCTCCTGAGACTGATGGATGCCTGCTATGTCTGCATACACTCACTTCTTTAAGGTGTTTACGTACCTCCTCTCCAGGTAGTGCTTGGGACTTGGTTGTCAGTTGATGAGTTCAATAGTTTATTTCCTGTTGATAACAGGAATTCCGTTAGGCTAATTGTGGTCACCTTAACCAGTGATTTGCCTTTGGTCAGAATGCAGCATACAACCGTTTACTAACTCAATTTTATCTAGTTACTGCAAGGTGAACAAAGGCATGAGAAACTGTCAAATGTCTTTCCATGCCTGGAAATCTTACTTCAGAACCAATTGGTTGTGATCCAACTGTTATTTAAAAATATAAACTTGGAATACTAATTTAAAAAAAAAAAAATATTTCCTCTTTCATGGGGGGGGGGGTAGGATTTGATATGTGAGGAATATTTGGCTTGCTTGCTGCTGTGTTATGGTCCCCCAGCTGTTGAGTGGGTACTTGGGCACTGATGATGTCCTTAGCTTGCTTGCTGCTGTGTTATGGTCCCCCAGCTGTTGAGTGGGTACTTGGGCACTGATGGTGTCCTTGGCTTGCTTGCTGCTGTGTTATGGTCCCCCAGCTGTTGAGTGGGTACTTGGGCACTGATGGTGTCCTTAGCTTGCTTGCTGCTGTGTTATGGTCCCCCAGCTGTTGAGTGGGTACTTGGGCACTGATGATGTCCTTAGCTTGCTTGCTGCTGTGTTATGGTCCCCCAGCTGTTGAGTGGGTACTTGGGCACTGATGGTGTCCTTAGCTTGCTTGCTGCTGTGTTATGGTCCCCCAGCTGTTGAGTGGGTACTTGGGCACTGATGGTGTCCATGAAGAAAACCTTGGGCTGATAATGCTATTTGGTTAGATAACTTGTCACCATGTACAGTGGTACCTCGCATAACGAATTTAATCCGTTCCATGTTCGTCATGTGAAACGGACGTCATACAAAACAAGTGTGCCCCATGTAACCAGTGTGATGCACTGTGTTTATTGTGAAATTCCCCCAGTGTGCATGACATCAAATGTTCCCCAAAATATAATTTTTCTTTGCAAAATGATAAATTACCGTCCCTGAACATGTCTATGTAAAAGTAATTACCAAATTCCACTTACTTTGGCTGTGAGGGAGTCGACAAAGTGCACTGTGACGTCATCAGGGCCTGGTCGCCCGTGTGTGAAGCTCCCAGACACGGTCGCGCAGGCCATTCAAGCACTGCATGTTGCCACAAATATATTTTCAAATATTTTTTCTATGCATTTCCAATGCGGTTTTATTTGTTTCTTTTATCGTATATGATGCATATTTGTGACCTTTACAATATGTATACAGTAGAATGTTCATAATTTTCCATGAAACTGTGATACATGTGTCAGTAATGTGTCCACAATAAATGTTTATTGTCACAATATTACGTGGTAAAAATTCACTAAAATTACAATATGTACAGTTTCACATACTATTTACACAGTAACACTGTATTACACACTCAGTACTTTGGAGGTGCGTAATAGTCAACGAAGTAGTCCATGGTACACAGCGCGACTTTGCTCTCCTTGCACCAGCTACAGATAGATTTTCGTTTCCTGTTTCATCATTCTGTGTGCTTGCAAATAACGCTCTCGTGTGCACCCTTGGCTTTAGTACTTGTAGGTGGTATGTAGCCAAGCTTGTAAAGCATAAGGTAGTATTGAAATGATTATAGGAAAAGCTCAGTTTGTAAGGTAGTCTTGAAAAGATCGCTTTGTAAGGTCCCACACAGGAAGAGATTCAGCTAGCCTCAAAGAGTGTCCATCAGTCAGGAAGAGATTCAGCTAGCCTCAAAGAGTGTCCATCAGTCAGGAAGAGATTCAGCTAGCCTCAAAGAGTGTCCATCAGTCAGGAAGAGATCAGGTATTCTTGAAAATATCAATGAACAACACCACCATGGAAGCCGCTAACACTGTATATCTATGCTACTTGTATCAGATGCATCATCATTGAACGCAGAAAACGATTCATCTATGTATCATCTATATAAATTGGAGATGGCAAGGGTGAGGCTCAGAGCTACAACTGGATACGCTCGCTGTATCATCCTCATAGGTGCTGCATCACTGGCATCCGACCGTTGTGTTAAGCCCTTATTGCGCCTAGCTTCACCAATGTTATGACCCCTTGTTCTTCAAACAATAGGGTCTGAATTGCACCGATTGAGCGCAGTCTTTCAACACCGTGTGAGACAGGTGTTTGAGTGCCAGAGGCACGTGTGCTACAAATGGTTGCTCACGCAGTACTAACCCAGCCAGCAGCCCTTGTCTTTCATATTCGTTATAACAAAAGGTTCGTTCAGTGTTTGTCGGGTAGGCTGCTCCATTATGACAATCTTTCTTTGTTTCAAATGTGTTCCATTTGTTTTGTATTTGTCACTTACGTCTCAATAATGGAGCAGCCTACCCGACAAACACTGAACGAACCTTTATGGCATTTGTCCATTTTTCAAATTGTTTCAACAGTTCTTTTATTTTTCGTTTTTTTTTTTATTTAAGAAACATGGAGCAGCCGACCTGTAGACCACCGAATGAACCTTTTTGACATTTGTACTGGTTTTCAAAATTCTTAATTTTTTTTTATTATTTACGTTTTTTGTATGTAAGAAACATGGAGCAGCCTACCTGCCGACCACCGAACGAACCTTTTGCTATAAGACAAATGAAAAATAAATATTGAACACATTTGAAGAAAGGAAAATGTCATAATGGTTTATTCAGTGTATGTAAGGTAGGCTTCTCCATTATTGAGACGTAAATGAAAATTACAAAACAAATAGAACACATTTGAAACAAAGAAAGATTGTTATAATGGAGCAGCCTACCTGCCGAACACCGAACGAACCTTTTTGACATTTGTTGTATATCAGACATTTCATTTATTTTTTCCTGCAAAAACGTCAATGCTTTGCAACATCTCAGCAGTCACCCTTTTATATCCCAGCATCATTAGCATCTTTAAACAAGAACAACATAATTTATGTGCATCGTCGGAGGCGTCTAAGAATGTGCAAGCAGCAGCGCGACCCCACCATGTGGTGTTGACGTTACTCAAACCAGCGTTCGTCATACGGGACGATTTGATGCCGATCGGGCCATTCGTTACCCAAAATGTTCGTCTTTTGGGGCAATCGTTATGCGAGGTACCACTGTATTTCACCTAGTTAAGTAGTTACTCATTGTTACCCATTTATACCACTCATTGACACACTTACCACCCTCACATAGCCCACTCATACCACCCTCACATAGCCCATTCATACCACCCTCACACGGGGCAATTGACAGGGTGGACAAAGACGAACTCATTAGTACGGGTGGTACACGAACAACGGGACACAGGTGGTACACGAACAAGGGGACACGGGTGGTACACGCACAAGGGGACACGGGTGGTACACGCACAAGGGGACACAGGTAGAGACTGAGTGCCCAAATGAGCCACGGGGACGTTAGAAAGAACTTTTTCAGTGTCTTGAGTAGAGAAGTTAGAGGCATTAAATATGCAAAAACTTGAAGCTAGTAGAAAAAGAGGCGATATGATTGCTACGTACAAAATAGTAACAGGAATTGATAAAATTGATAAGGAAGATTTCCCGAGACCTGGAACTTCAAGAACAAGAGGTCATAGATTTAAACTAATGAAACAAAGCTGCCGGAGGAATATAAGAAAATTCACTTTTGTAAACAGAGTGGTAGACGGTTGGAACAAGTTAGGTAAGAGGGTGGTGGAGGCCAAAACTGTCAATAATTTCAAAACGTTATATGACAAAGAGTACTGGGAAGACGGGACACCATGAGCGTAGCTCTCATCCTGTAACTACACTTGGGTAATTACCAATCCACACACACACACACACCGCCCATGTATACTACACACACACCACTCACCCATACCAACACTTCATGAGACTTCTCCGACCCTGTTTGGACACTAAAAATATAGGGCTCCTCCTGACCACAGGTGTAAGGTGTTCAAAGGAATATATGAGAGTCTGAATGCGAGACAAAATGATCCCTTCCAGTGGCGGCACATCAGGGTCTTGAATTGGCCTGTGAGGATCCAGATAGACCGGGCATCAACAAAGTAGGCTGCCCGGGTACGAACTGGGTTCACACAACTTCCGCTCTGTCGACACTCCAACATCTTGGTTCTCCTGTATGGGCACCAAGGTTACCTACCCATTTTGGTGACATCACCAGAGGTACCCACTCAGATTTGTCTGCACCTTTCCCACCTGATTCTTTAATAAGCATGGAAGTGTTCCATGGTTTCAGTCAACACAAACATACAACTTACCATTTGTATCCGGCTCATGAGTCAGAGAAAACAAGGGGTTCAGAACACGAACTTCAGCTTAAGAAGGCAGA